TTTTTTTTTTTCATTCTTTCTATACATTATTATTAATATTATTTATAATAATTTCTATTATAATTTGTTAGAAAGAGAGAGAGAGAGAGAAAGAAAGAGAAAGAAAGAGATGAATCTGGAGGCATTAGTACCGGCTGGCCGCACACTAACAGAGGAACAACAACAACACGTGCGAGATCTGCAGGACGAGATTGATGAAATATGGAGTCGCCGTGGGGATTACAAAATTGACGACTCCGCATGGGAACACATGCCACTTTTTATGGAAAACATCACTGAAGAAGATCTTCAAAAAAACGCCGATTGTGCCGCGCTCGCCAGCATTGCCTACGATGCCGTTCCCCCAGAGGAAATCGCAGAGAATAGAAAACAACACGGCAATAGAGCCATACAACTCGCATTGGATCCAGCACAGGTCAATAAGGAAAATCTCGCCCGTGCCGCTGCCCATTGCTATACAGAAGGATTAAACGCTAAATGTGCAGATCCCGTATTGAATGCACAACTCTACGCAAATAGAAGTCTCGCACAATATATTATACAAAACTACGGACATGGTCTGGAAGATGCACAGCGGGCTATTATTCTTAATCCAAACTACAGTAAAGCTTACTACCGCGCCGCACGTTGTGCAGAACGAGTAAAGAAGTATGAACTGGCTCTTGATCTTATTTCAAAAGGTTGTCAAACAATTCCTCCACCAGCAGAGGAAGCTTTAAAGGAGTTTGCACAACTGGAAAGGGTTTGTCGTGAATCATTAGAAAATGCACATGTAAAAGAAAAAAAGAAGAGTCTTCGTACACGTGTTCAGGCAGCAGAGACATCTAATGTTTTGCGTACCATTACCTCTAGAGGTATTAAACTCTCACCTCATCCTGAAGTAAGTAGTGAACAGATGGGTGTGTATGGTCAACATAAACCTTATTTTGACACGGAAGGTTTATTACATGTTCCCATTCTTTTTATGTATGATGAATATCAGCAGACGGATTTTATGCAAGATGTCGCATGTGATGTTAGTGCTGCTGACCTTGTTGAGGAATTAATGCCTTTTCCATGGGATGATAAAGGTCGTTACAGTCAGATAAATGATATTGTGGTTATTTTTAAAATTGATGATGGTGTTAAGATGCCAGAATACTATGAAGTGGATCTCTCATGGCCTCTCATGGAAGTATTTCGTTTAGACTCATACAAAATGCCCATGTTACTTCCAGTACTGCATATTCTTTGCAAAGACTCAGAGTTACTGCAGGAATGGAATGTTCAAAAGGCACATTGAGTGAAGAGAAGAGAGAGAAGAAGTGAAATCCCACAAGCTTAAACAGACGAGTAAAACTGTGAAGGTACAGTCCCAGAAAAAAAAAAAAAAAGGGGGGAAAAGAAAGAAAACAAAAAACAAAAACAAAGACCTTCGAGAGAATAAGTAAGGAAAAAAAAAAGAATAGACAAAAAAGAAGAAAAGAAAGAAAACCCCCTCAAACAAGCAAACAAACAAAGAAAATACCAACTTGAATACATGACATTAATTAAAAATAAAATGATATCTCTTCATAAGTTTAACATCAGTTGCTGTTTTTTTTTTATTTTCCTTTTTTTCTTTTTTTTCTTTTTTTTATTGTGCTTGGTACTCTTGATCACTCACACTAAAAGACGGAAGAAAGTAAATCCCACAATAGCAAGAAGGAGAAGAAAAAAAAAAAAACATATTAACGCAGGAATAAAAGAAACAACAACCGCAAAAATAAAAAAAAAAAACATAACTATACAAACAAGGGAAAAAGAATAAAACAGTACAAGTTATTACTTTTTTCATTACTACATTTCTTCTGACAAGATTAACGATACCTTTTTTTTTATTACTTGTCATTATCATCATCATTATCATTATAATATAATCATTACCGTTAATTATGTTGCTTGGGTTTCCATTTGATGTGTGGGTTGTGATGGCTGTAGAATTTACAGAGCGTTTAGCGTACTACGGCACATCTTTTATGCTAATGACGTATTGTACCAGTATGCTGCGCTGGTCCCCCAGTGTTGGGAATGCGGTAGTGAATGGCCTTTATACTCTTACCCCAGTAGCCGCCTGTATTTCTTCTGGATTGGCAGATGGAAGATGGGGACGCAGATATTCATTAGTTGTATTTCTTTCCATTTATGCGGTAGGACTTTCACTTCTTGCCCTTTCATCGTTTCCATTTATGTATGGAGATTTTCCACTTTTTCCATCTGTAGAAAGTATTTTCTTTTTTTTATTGGGTTTATTATTATTTTCCTCCGGTTATGGTGGGATGAAGGTGTGTACAAATCCAATCATGGCGGATAGTGTAGCGGAATTATATAAAGATAATGAGGGAAAATGTGCGGAAATGCTTTCACGACTTTTTCGATGGATCTATTCTGTTACAAATTGTGGTTCACTTGTTGGTATCTTTGTTCCTCCATTACTTCGTGGTCTTGAAAAACGAAAAACTTCTATTGGTTCTATTACATATACGACAGGTTATTATTATGGATTTTTACTTTCAGCAGCTTCTTGTATATTAGGACTAATTTTAATGATAATTATGTATCGAATATTTAAAACAAGTAAACAGGTTCCTTCCTTTTTACTTGGACGTATTTTATTAAGATCTATTCGTATACGTTGGTATTTTGCTACTGGATATATTCAAGATGATGTCTTTTTGCGTGTTCATAAATGGGATTTGCTAGATTACGCTGCTTATCCTCTTAATAGAGAAGTTTCTTCTTCTTCTTCTTTAGGTCATGGTACTACTTCTTCTTCATCTGAAGCTATGCGTCCTATATTTAAAGATGGCACAGGTTTATCAGAAACTTTATGGAAACCAACAGAAGAAGAAAAAAATGAAAGTAGTATAAAACATAAAAATGTAGTACCAGATAATAATAAAAAACAAGAAGAATCAAAAAATGGTTTTAATAATTCTCCTGATGTTCATGATTCTACATTAAATCCTATTGGAGAAAATTTTTCAGAACCACTTAGTTTAAGTATTGTTGAAGATGCAAAAAAAGTTGTTGCTGTATGTCGTGCTTTTATTGCTTTACCTGTATATTGGTTAATTACGAATCAATTTAGTTCAAATTTAATTCTACAAGCTGCAGCATTAAATCTTCCACATTATATCCCTCCAGAAGTATTTAATAATGTAAGCGTTTTTGCTCTTCTTATCTCTTTATTGCTATTGGATCGTATTATATTTCCTTATATGTATCATGGGCGTTCCCCACCGATGCGGGGACGTGCCGTATGTGGATTTTTAATAATGATTATTTCTATGATATGGTGCGGTTTTGTTCAAATAGGTATAGATAATCGGGGAACATACAATGATGAGGGTCAATATACATTATATACTGGTATGGAAAAACTTCCAGCTGGATGGTTGTTACCACCATACATTATGCAAGGTATAGCAAGTGCATTAGTTGATACAACTGTTATGGAAGTAGCTTATGTTTACGCTCCAGAATCCATGAAAGGAGCAGTGATGGCACTTTATCTTGTAGCATCTAGTTTAAGTGGATTACTTGGACTTATTTTGTCTCCTGTAATGAAACCGCAAAATATTATGGTTGTCATCTTTGCTCTTTGCGTTGCACTTCTTATCGTTACAATTCTCTTTTATTTATTAAATGGCCCTGAAACAACCGCAAGAGTTGATGTGATAATAGAAATTAACAATCAAGATTCTGGCATAGAGAAAAAACCAGATACATCTTCTGGACGTGAGAAGGAGTACCTTCTTCACAGAGGTGATTATGCTAAAGGTAGTACCTCTTTAGAATATGGTGGTGTTCCTCAAAATAACAACGAGTTGCTGCGACGAGAGGCTGCAGATATTGATATTATTGGTACTTCATAAAGTAAAGAAACATAAATAAAAATTGTTGAAAACTGTTGTTGTATTTATTTATTATTTATTCCCTCTCTTTTTCCTTTTTGTTTTCCTTTTTTCTTTTTTTCTTCTGAGTTGTGAGTTGTTTGTGTATTTCCGTATATGAAGGTAAAATATTTCTACTGGGTTTAGTGACGAGAGGAACATCTTCATGAGGTAAAATAGGAGAAAAAGGGTTAAGCGATGCCTAACTTTTTTTTCTTTTTTTTCTAATTATTTATATTAATAATATTACATATGATACTAATAGCGTTTTTTTGTGTTTCTTCTTCTACTTCTTTATGTTTCTAACTTTTTGAGGGACTCCTTTTCTTTTTTTCTTCCTCCTCCTCCTCTCTCTTCTTCCCTCTGTTCTGTACCATTGATGTTCTTTATTTTTCCCTCCTTCTCTCTTCTTGTTTCTTTCTTTTTCTTTTTTTCCCCACTTTCTACAGATCGTAAGCTCGCCAGCAACCACCACGATGCCCGCTGTCGCCAAGAAGAGCGCTAAGAAGGCCCCCAAGAAGGTCGCTAAGAAGATCAGCCGCAAGAGCCCCGAGTACAGCACGCTCCGCAAGAGCTGCTCTCCCGGCACAATTGCGATCATTCTCGCAGGCCGCTTCCGTGGCCGCCGCGCGGTGATTCTCAAGCAGTTGCCCGGCAACGGCCCACTGGTCATCTCGGGCCCGATGAAGTACAGCGGAGTGCCGATTCGCCGCATTGACTCCCGCTACATCATCGCCACCTCCACAAAGGTCGACATTAAGAACGTGGACACCAGCGCCATCACCGCTGAACTCTTCAAGCGCCCCAAGCAGGAGAAGCGAGTGAAGTCGGAGGGCGAGTTCATGGGTGATAAGGCCAAGAAGGCAGCGGAGCAGAAGGCCAAGAAGACCGCAAAGGCAGCAGCGAAGGGTGCCGTCAGTGATGCCCGCGCACAGCTGCAGAAGAAGGTGGATGCTGCTCTCATTGAGGCGATCAAGAAGGATCCTCTTGGTAAAGAAAAGGCCGGATATCTTCACTCCGTCTTCACCATCATGCCAGGTGATGTGCCACACCGTATGAACTGGTAGAGAAATGTTGAATTGAGCTTTGATCCACATTTTATTTACTTTTGTGTTTTCTTTTATTTCACTTCTCTTGTCCTTGTTTTTTTTTTTTTCTGCTCTGTGTTGCCTTGAAGGTGGGGGTAGTGAGACTACCAAATTGTCTCCACGATCCCACCGGGGGCAATTCTTCAAATATACAGATAATGATGATTGTAAGGTGTAATGTGTAAGCTCTTCTTTTTTTTTTTCTTTTCTTTTTTTTTTCTTTTTTTTTTTATTATTATTTCTCGTTACACAGGTTGCGTCACTCCTGTTAACTACATAGATAACACCACCAAAGAGAAGGTGGAGAAATAAGAAAAAAAAAAAAAAAGATGGCCAGTAGTGACAGTGATAGTGACTCTTATGATCCTGCAGAGGTTTGTAGAACAAAGAAAGAAGTAAAGTTAGAAGATGGTCTACGCAAGACAGTTCCTGTGTTTATGAAAAGCAGTAGTGATATCGCTTCATCAGCCCCTCTTCAGACATCTACTGAAAAGATAGATTTGGTACTGGGAGCAACAACAAAAACAACAACAACAGCAACAACATCAAGAATAAAAGTAAATTCTGATAGAAGAGAGATTGGGGCATCTTTTGCTAATACAGATCATGTTCTTCGTGGGGTAACTGGTCGTGTTCGTTCTATTTGTTATAGTTCAACAGGATCTACACTTTGTGCTGGAGGTGAGGGTGGAATGGTTTGTATGTGGGACTTTAAAGTTCCTTTAGATAGTCGATCTGTGAAACCGACACGTATTCTTACACCATTTCCAAATCGTATTTCTGGTTTTCAACCAGTTATCTCTGTAAATGCAGCCTGTGATGGATCATATTATGTGGCTTGTCAAGATGGTGATTGTCCTGTTTTAATTGCATCTAGTGGTAAACAATTAGGATATTGTGCTATGGGAGAACGTGGTATTGTAGATGTAGTTCAATGTAAAGGACATCGAGCCCCTGTGACATGTTCAGCACCATCCCCTTCTGTTATTTCACGTTTTTTTACTGGATCACAAGATAGTACAGCTCGTATATGGGATTCCGGATCATTTGAAAGACGTTCTGTATATGCGGTTAAACATGGTTCAGGTCAACTGTTGGAAAATGTAGTAGTAGAGTCGATTATACCTATTCAAAGTATTGGTAGTGATAAATCGTCTGTATTTGCTACTGGTGGAGTGGACGGTCTTGTTCTATTATGGGATTCACGTCAAAAGTATCGACCTGGTGGTGCACTTGCTGTATTGGATATGTATAGTAAGACTCCTGCTACTGGTGGTGGTCCTTTATCATCATCACGATCTATGCCGATAGATGATGGTCCATTTTTTGAAGAAAAACACGTGGGTGGAATGGTAGAGCCGGACTCTTCACGTCCATTCCTTTGTATACGATGTGGATCTGTAGTACGAGTGATAGATCTGCGAAAAATTGGGAAAAGTGGCGTTGTTGAAGATGTTTCTCCTCCTCTCACTTCTCTCTCATTTGTCACTGATACAACTCCACTGGTTTCATGTACGAGTGCCCTATACTCGCAGGATAAACCATCTTTCTTGACTTGCACAAGTCGTGCGGGTTATCAGCATGTTGCGGGTGGCCACGTGGTACAGTTTACATACATGGATGGTACCTTTCAACCATCTATGGTATGGCGACCCTCTTCAAGTCATGATAATAATAGTAGTGGTAATGGTATCGCTAATAATAATAATAATAATAATAATAATAATAATAATAATAATGATGGAGATGATGTCCTCACAGTTGCGGTGGATGTAGTGGGTGGACAGTTGTTTGCTGGACGGCAGTGTGGTGATATTGTGGCACGTGTAAAGCGGCGGGCAGCGGGTGAAGACGGTGAATATACAACAGGAACACCAACGGTGCGGTCATGGCTGGCAACAAGACCGGAGCGTGAAATACGTGTAGTTGGGAAGAAATCAACGAGAGAAGACGCATTTGATCAGGACAATATGGATGATTTGGATTTTTAATTCAAAATTCTCTTCTATTGCAGTAAGTGTTTCATTCTTTAATTTTCTTTTTTTTTTCCTTTTTGAGTTATATCTGTGTTTGCGTTTGTAGATGTATTTTAAATTCTCAAAATGCTTTTTTTTTCTTTTTTTTTTTCCTGTTCCTCTTTTGTGTTTCTATACTATCCACACTCAAAAAAAAAGAAAAAAAGATAAATAACGACATTGTTCGTTTTTTTTATTCTTTATCACCGTCCTTCTTGACGACCTTACCACAAGACTTCTCTGTGGTAAATAGATTTAGATTAGGTGTTGATAACTTGAGATCAACGACAGTACAAGAAATAAGAGCAAAAAAAAAAGGGAAAAAGAAAAAGAAGGATATACTAATTCTGTGGCAGTAATCCTTTTTTTTTTTATTTATTTATTTAACATGACAACTGTTTGTAATGGTGCTCCCATTAGTACTACATGTAGTAGCCAAAAAAACGATGATGATGAAACCAACAAAAAGAATGGTAATAGTGGCTCCATTATTCCTTCACGTACTTCAGAGACTGTGTTTGATCCTCCACCAGTGTATGATGATATTTGTCGTTTTATCGCCGAGTACGCTGGTCGACTTCCACGGGATGTTTTTACAGGTACGGCACCGTATGAATACACTGGCTGCGACTATGCACTTATTCTCTACGCTATTCTTCCCAGCCGATGTATTGATCTCTCTCGACTGTGTTGGTCCACAACGCCTCTTCCATCACAGTTGGAGGCTAATTTGGTAGTCTTTTGTGAAGGAGCTCGTCGATTAGAGTTGTGTGATGCCCCTTCATCTTCATTACATCCACAACATCTTCGCTCTACACCGGCTTGTATAGTTCATCATATTAAAGTCCAACATTGGTTGTATGTGTTATCGCAGAGATTCCGACCAGAGGGAAGTTTTGACCCAGTAACACTACGGATGGAATTACGTCATATTCAACTCGGTGAACCACGGTTAACAGGAACCACAATTATACCTACATCTACATCTACAACATCATCATTATCATCATTAACAATGGCAGGAAGAGTAGTAGGGGCTACTGGATCCTCTTTATCACTTGAAGGAGTAAAAATGAATGAGATGGATAGAGAAGAGGCATTTTGTTTTCCCTCACTTCACTGCAACGCGCTATGGAAGGTGGCAGCGGTTAATTGTAAGCGAACTTCCACTGAATCCACACAAACTACAAGAAAACGGGCAGCTGGTGAGGCAGAAGTACAACAAAACTCTACAAAAAGTTATTCACGACCATGGCGTTCAGCTCCATCAGGAACAACGACAGCAGGGGCAGTAGTAAACTCTAATACTACCACTACCAATAAGATTTCAAGTCGTCAACCCTTACAGAAACAACAAACAGCAGTACAAACCTCTTCTACTACTGGCGAAGTATCATCAAATGCTACAAAGTCTATATCACAATTGCCATTAAAAAGTATTGCTGAACAGTGGAGTGAATATGAAGAACGGCGGTTACATCTCAAAGAGACTTTAGAACTTGCCCGAAATACCACTCAGTCTATGCTTTTTACTAATGGTGCTATTGACTTTGATAATATCCTTTCTATTCTTCATCAGAAGCAGCTATGATTACCTATATTTATACTGATGGCACAGTGAAGGAGTTGCTTATATGCTGTTTTTCTTTTTTGTGTATTTTATATTTTCCTGATTACTCGCCTATGGAAGACGTTTTCTTCTTTTACATATATTTAGATATCTTTACTTTTCCTCCTTTCAGTTTCAGATAAAGGAGGTATTTTATATATAAAAAAATAGACACATACATACACTTTTATAATAGATAGGTTTACAAGCACTCATGAGTGTAATTCCTTTGTCTTTTCTTTTTTTTGTTTCTTGTTTTAAAATTTTCATCTCTTTTATTATTTATCTATACAGTTGTACATTACTACCGTTTCTTTCTTATTTTTTCCCATTATGTTTCTTTTCTTGTCATTATCCCAGTAACTTCTATGTCACATTAGCTAGAAGGAAATATCGAAAAAAAAAAAAATAAATGAATGAATCAAAAAAAAAAAAAAAAAAAAGAGAAGACATTAAAAAGGGAATATGCGACGA